AACTTATAGGAAGTCCTGCTGTCAATGGAGAATCTGATAGTTTTAATTCTTTATGTTATGTATAAGAACTTTTCTTGCACTAAGTGTTAGTCCTACCTACTCTGATTGGAATACAGTAGGAAGTTTTAGCCTAGGGGTTGGGTGATATGGAAGTTCCGTTCTTTGGGGTAAATACCAGTCCCTGTTCCTTCCATTGTTTTAGGTGCATCCGTGAAGATGAATATGTCTGGTTGGGATGCCATATCCTAATCAAGAAAGATGGGATAGTTTTTCCTTAACATGAATTGAGGAGTGAGTGGGTCCGATCGCTCTTCAGGGTAGTCAATCGCTTTATCACCTCGCCCAGAATTCGTGAGTGGCCCACATCAATACCTCTGCTATATGGTCCTCAGAGCTTCCCAATTACGCAGCGACTATTTGCTTTTCGGCTTTAAACTGGATACGTTCACCCTAATTCAGTTTTCTGTCAAGTCTGATTTCTAGATATTTCACTGACTCTGGGAATTGGAGGTGTCCTTGGAATAGCAGGGGAGTTCCAGGCTGCCTTTCTTTTCCTTGTGAAGAGAACTAGCTCCATTTTTGTCGGGTTGATGGACAAAGAGTGTTCCATACGTCATTCTTCTTACTTAGAATATCGTGAAAGATAAAAGTAAATTTCTACCCTCCCCCAAAGGCTCCGTCACCACTTATCTCGAAAAAGAGTTACGCGGGAAAGTTATAGTTTGTACAAACCAATTTATTTCGGTAAGACCTTTCATTAGAGTACCATGTGTTAACCCCCCCCCCCCCCAATTCATTTTGAAAAGTTTTACTTGGCACCACTAAAGGCAGGCGTGTGCAAAATCTGAGACCAATTAGTTGTCTTATATAAAAATTATGCACGTTTGACTTTCAAAAACAGCATCTCAGGAAATAAATCATGCCCCCCCCCCTGCCCCCAAAACAACGAAATTTGTTGGCCGTCTGGTACACCTTCAAGATATACGCTACCCATTGCAAAAAATTCCAGGACCATTTCCCTATAAGTACTTGGCAGAAATGGGGTCGACCGGCCGGAGACGGACAAAACGCAAACAATAGCACATTTTTTTTTAATTTAAAAAAAAATCCGTTAAAAAAATTTTTGGAAAGGTAAACAACAGTAACGATGCGCTAAAGTCTGATTGTATTGATAAATAAACAGTTTCCTTATAATCGTGACCGGAAATCGCAGAAAAAGCTCGTTATTTTTGCCAAACGGGTTCAGATATAAAAGACTCATTGATCGATTTAACCTTATCATTGAAAATATTTTAAAAATTCTGCACCTTTTTTGAGATCTAAAGGAACATTGTTACATACATGCACCAGCAGACAAACAAAGCGATCGCTAAAAGCTCATATAATTCACCAAATAAAGTATTATTGATTTATTATTACATTATTATTGATTTTCCGAATTTTTGTGCACTTGGGTGCACTTACTTCCCAGAAAGGTGAAACGAATTTAGGTTGAAGTACCCAAAATACAAAAGAGGAATGTGGAAATGCATGCTTATACTTATAGGTAACAATTTCTGTAATTGATTTATAAACTACAAGTTTCGAGTTAATTGCATTAGTGATAAATTGTGAACAAACGATTGACAGTGCCACTCATTCATACGAGAAAGTACCATAAATCAATTTATTGCCGTGATGATTCAATTGGTATATTAATGGCTCGCTACATAAGCTGTAAGTTCGGAAACAACTACTCCACTTATAACTTGTTAATTAAATAAAAAAGCACTTTATTATGTAACTACTATTACATCACATGCAATTTGATGGTGGAGGCGCTAAGTTTTCTATCACCCCCAACTTTGTTTGGGAACTAGCGGGAAGCCTAATCAGAGTTCCAAAATATATGCGAAAAATTATGGCGAACATTTTCCTCTGCATTTGAAGTATCAAACGCCCTCTTAGTTTTGTAATGATAAGTAACGTCCTTACGTAAAATTTTAGAACTATTGAGACGCTGGATAGACATCCTACTCTTTACACGAAAACGTATCTGTATTTATCAACTGCAACCTGACACAGGGAGCGGAGAAATTTTAAAGAGCCAGAGGAAATAGTGCATGCGAAATTTTCTGGTTCAGACCGAGAGACAGTCTCTAATCTAAATCTAAATTCTAACAATGTTGTGGATATGGCAACTTATTACAAGAAAACTACAGAAGATCTTCCTAAGAACTACAAAGGTCTGCTAAGGTTTTGTTTAGTTCTTACTTCTTATAATTGAAAAGGTGGAGATTTTTTCGTATGATAAAATACAAAACAAAATATTCCGGTAAATATAAAATGTTAATTAGTGCCTCTGGAGAGTTCTAAAAGTTTCGCTAATAATACGATTTTACCAAATAATAAGAAAGCTTTGAAGGGCTCTTTTGAATCTGAATTGCCATTTTCATCTTTTTAGTTTTAAAACTTTAAATCTTTGCGTAATGCAGATGCAGTGTCATGCGAAATATTTGTGACCGTCTTTGGATAAAAGTTTCGCGTAGCTTCTACAGAGTCCTAAAAATTGTGTAATAGGATTTTGTAGAACAACTTGTAATTTGTACACTCATTACATCAATACAAACAATAAATAATCATCATGACCTATTATTACTTACGTGTAGACGTATCCCGTATCACACATAATTTTTTTCACTACTAGCGTCTGATGACATGATTATTAACCTTTTTTCCACTTGTAAAGTAGGCTTTCTCGGCATTTGTTCAAAGTGGTTAATAATTTTTTATTATTAACTAGTAGTCAATAATGAGAACTGTCACGCTGTCACTTTCAGAAAACACAACCCGAAATTTTGCTCAATGAACGTTTAGACAAGTTCTCTAAAACGAATAATTGCCACCATTCGCAATTTCCAGAGAAATTACATACCTAAAATTATCACATTTTGAAAAAATTCGAACCAAATTACTCTTTGAAAAATCTCAATGACAGAACAAAATACGGCCTGTTTGACTTGTACTTCCACGTACTTGATTGACATGTTAAATTAAGAAACAAACAATTATGTCCAACCGTTAACTCTCTTATCAATATAATAATATGTTAATTTAGAGGATTTCAAGTGCTAGTAGTGAAAAAAATAGTATATATACCACGGTAGAGAAGTCTATTATTGCCTTCGCACCTTACACCCCTCGGCACAAGCGCCTCGAGATGTAATCTTGGTGCTCAGGCAATAATACTATACTTCTCTACCTTGATATATAATGTACTATTACATATATACATACAGGGTTGGGGATCTGGTATCAGTATCATCTATTTATAATAGAGCACTGTGAAAACAATATTTTGTTATGTGAGAATATTTGCAATTTAAGTTGTCATGGACCAAGGTTATTTTATTTCAAAGGTTACCTGGCAACTATGTGGGCGAAAGCGGGAGGGACGGAATGTATACGTCATTGAGAATTCAGACATTGACGTTCAACGTTGTTTGTATTCGCGCGGGTGCTTATTTTTCTTGAGTTATAGTTTATTTGTTTAAAATTTGTTGAATTTTGAAGTGCATAAGGACATATATTAGCTGTAGATACCTGTTTGGTGCAATATAAAGACATTTAGTTTGTGAATTTTGTGGATTTTCATAGCCGTGATTGAAGGGTTAGTTCATCAATTATATGCACTTTTGTATGTTATAATTAAGTATTTTTTTAGATGAGTGGCGGTAACACTAAAATTCCTCATCCTGGTGTAAATAAAATCTCGGTTTTTACGTTTCCCAAGGACCCTACCGTTCTTAAAGAATGGGTAAGAAAATGTTTCACATCCGGCAGCAAACTAAAATGTGCTGCGCCCTCATTGGTCAAAACGGCCAACCGATGAAAGCGTAGCGTCCCTGGCCGCAAACGTTTAAAAGCAGAGCCACGAACTCTGCAAAGTGCAACGCAATTTCTGCTTCGACTGCACTTCAAGAAACAAAAAGCTCTCCACCTGCAGAACCAGGTCGCCTTGCCAGCTCGACCTCGCGCCACACTCCATCAGTCAGAAGACCTGCATCTGGGCTCACCCCAACGACAGAGCTCGCCGTGTGCACCTCGGTTACCATTTTGTACATACTATAAATATACATTTTCCATAAAACGCAACAGCATTTTATTTGGCGTCATCCGCTAAAGAATGTTTAGAGTTTTAATTCCCAAAGGCTAGGTATTGGTACATAGGGGTGGTTCCTATTTTGTAGAACGCGGAATTTTATCCATTTCCACCTCTAAAATTAATTTGATTACATTTTCACAAGTCCTCGTGCAATGTAAAACAGCTTACGCACCACACTCATTTTTGCAATACTTTGATTGCTTTCAAAGGTGGAAGTCGATAAACTTCCAAGATTTCCAATATAAGATCCACCCTTATATACATATACCCATATAAATCCAAAAATATACTGCAAAAACTAAATTTTTTACCCCTTTTATTAGCATTGTAACCTATGAGCAATTTTAAATGTGAATTCTGGATGACGTTTTCCCGCCTTCAAAATGCAAGCATTCTATTGGTTTAGAGTTACCAGACAACCTTTCTAATAAAACAACCTTGGTCATGGACAAATTTGCGATAAATCAACGGCAAACTCGAATTTTGGTTTTAGAAATATCCCCAGGTCGGTCGATACCAAAATTTGGTGACATGCAACGCCAGCCAATTCCCCCGAATTGACGGCCCCTGACTTTTTTCTTTGGGGGTGTCTGAAAGAAAAGGTTTACGAAACGCGTCCCTATACCATCCAAGTACTTAAAATTCGTATTTCGGAAAAAATAACTATAAGATTGGAGCAGAATTTTGCAACAATGTAATCTACCGCAAATTCAAACCCCCTGGATTGCACAATGCGGTATTGTAATTAAATACGTACGTATATGAACGTCATTTTCCTACTTCAAGAAAAACAAGTTAAATCGACATGTACGTTGTTTTAAAAAGTATGTGCGGAAAATGCGTCTATTCGTTAAGTGTATTATAAATTAATGTGCATTTTGCTATGTCAAATTAAAATCTGTGATGAATGGTTTGTCTGTCTTTGACGTACTTTACTATATCCATTACCATTACTTTCACGTTGGATAAGGTGATTAATTTAAATAATGGCTATAAATCTTTAAAGCTTCCTTTAGGATTCTAAACTTGGACTACGTTGCACGAAAAACGAAATAGGTTCATCCTATCATAATTTAGGACCTTAAATTTAAACCATTCGCGGCCCGTGGACAAGATATGTTTGTTGTCCTCCTAATTTTATAATTGGAACATGTAAACAATTCATTTAAACTTAGTTTATTTGTCTATAACTACGTGTAATTAGACAAAATTCGTTTTAATCATTAATTTTCGCAGTTGCAATGAATGTTTGGATAACGTATTTTATTTCAATTTGAGTTCAACAGTGATATCTACAAGTGGTAAGTACATCACTGTAATTAATTACATTTTAATCCAGGTGCATAGTATTTGATAAACTATCTATGATTTTTGTGCTGTTTATGTAAAGTATTCGATATTCTTTCCAGTATCTCGTATTTCATATAAAAATAAATTTAATTATTTCATTAGTAGTGGTAGCTGGTCTTCGTCTTACATTTAATTCTTTTAGTAATATCCACTTCTTTTAGCATCAATTGCGATCATTTTTGGTAATATTGCGACGAACTTTGCCGGAAAGTCTGCGCACAAACGGTTCCTTGCAAGTGAACAGTGCATTTAGTTGAATAAAAAAATTTTAATCAGGGGTAAATACACAAGAGCTTGATTTAGCTGGTGCGATTTTATCAAGTGCTTTTGATCGAGAGTTTTTCCAGGAGGTAACAAAATTTGAGTAAATTAAAAATAAAATTATACTGATTTAAAACAAGATCGAGTGTATTTTAGGGAGATTAATAAAAGACAGTAAATTTTACAACCACTATACAGGGTCATTCTTGACGAGCGTCAGTTAGAAAGATATGGAAAACCTTTGAAAATGAAACTAAACTGATAAGTCCTGTAAGGGTTTTGGCACATGATGAATTGAACTAAAATATTTTCAAGATGGTGCCACTTCCGGAAATACCGGAAGTAGCCATCAACTTTGTTATTTTAAATAGGGACCCCCTATTTTTTCTACATTTTCGGATTCTACGTCGAATTTGGAGTACAACGATACCCCATAGTTGACTCTTTGCTCCAAGGGCTTCGCCGATATTCAAGTTTTTATGTCAAAAATTGAATTTGCAGGGGTAATTTTAAAAATTTATTATTCGAAAACGGCGAGAGATATTGCAACACAATTTTCAGTGATTTATTAAAGAAAGATCGAATTTTCTTATGGTATGCGTAACAGTCTAAAAAAGTGAGACTACGTCACTTTTTCAAAGCTCTCAACTTTTAAACCTTTAAATATCCGTAACTCCATTTTTTCAAATGGCACACCCCATTTTGTTCTTCACCCTTGTTTCCTTTCTCCCAGACCTTTAATTTGATACAAAATGTCAAAAGCTGCATCAAACGGTTTCCGAGATATTCCATGTTAGTTACTTCTTGTGGCAAATTGATAAAAAAATTAAGTCGCTTGATGTTATTCTTTTGTTTTTATTATGATAATGTTTAAACGTTAAATTTTCGCTGCTTGAACTTATACTTCTCGTCAATAATGGCTCGTTTGGGTTATACTAATGAAGATTTTTTGAATTTAATATTAATACACGGTGAATGTAATCGAATAGCGGTCAGGACATGCCCTCTTTTTTCCGAAAGATACCCTGACAAGGCGCGACCCACAGAGGCTACAATTCGCAAATTACTACAAAATTGTAGGAATAACGGTACGTTTCAAACAAAAATACAAAAAAGGAAGCCTGTGGTAGACATTTATGCTTTTTCAGAATTCTTTCTGCACTCGTGTCTGATATGTCAATTTCTCTTTGGATATCATTAAGCGATGCAGTTGGATTTGCAGCAAAATACACCAGTACAGTTAATTCTTGTTCTTCAGAGTCTACCACAGGCTTCCTTTTTTGTATTTTTGTTTGTAATATACCGTTATTCTTGCAATTTTTATAATTTGCGAATTGTAGCCTCTGTCAGGGTATCTTTCGGAAAAAAGACGGCAAGTCCTGACCGCCTATTCGATTACATTCACCGTGTATTAATATTAAATTCAAAAAATCTTCATTAGTATAACCCAAACGAGCCATTATTGACGAGAAGTATAAGTTCAAGCAGTGAAAATTTAACGTTTAAACATTATCATAATAAAAACAAAAGAATAACATCAAGCGACTTAATTTTTTTATCAATTTGCCACAAGAAGTAACTAACATGGAATATCTCGGAAACCGTTTGATGCAGCTTTTGACATTTTGTATCAAATAAAAGGTCTGGGAGAAAGGAAACAAGGGTGAAGAACAAAATGGGGTGTGCCATTTGAAAAAATGGAGTTACGGATATTTAAAAGTTTAAAAGTTGAGAGCTTTAAAAAAAGTGACGTAGTCTCACTTTTTTAGACTTCCACTAATTGTGATTACCTTCAGCGCGTTGCGGCAGCATTACATTTAAACATTTCTACGGTCAGCAGAATTTCCCCAGCTTTTAAACAAAACGAAGCTTTGATATCGCAGATCTTGTATTTGCATCTAAAAGTACTGGCGATTACCACGGAGAAATGAATCGTGAAAACTTTTTACATTGGTTTGAAAAACAATTATTAGTAAATTTAGAAGAACCAAGTGTTATCGTATTGGACAATGCTTCTTACCACAGCACCTTATTGACACAAAATCCGAACAACTCGTGGAGAAAAGCAGATTTTCAAGATTGGTTACACAATAAACTTGCACTTGCGATTGTAACCTCAGAAATGTGGAAAAATTCAATTAATCGCACCGAAAAGTTAATAAAGGAATGGTATGAACGCGAAAAACAATTGGATATTGCAGAAATGGTCCCAATTTATATTGATTATCATTTTATGTAGTTCAATAAAATTTCTTGTGTTTTTGTCTCGGTTGAACTTACTAGTCTCAAATTCCACTAAAGCAAGAGTTGGTCAAATAACGTAAAATCAGTCAAGATTTCAAGCAAGCATTAACTTGGTATTTATTTGCTGATGACCTATGCAATGGTTTATACCTAACTTCCGAAACATTTACATAATGCCGCAATGCCCACATTCCTCATCTTTCTGCTCACAACGGCAGGGATACGTTATAAACAAAATGCTAATAGTACTACACTTAGTGGACTGCACTTTCCTTGAACCCGTCACAGCACAGTAGGAATGTTATAACGTGAGGTTAGTTCGGCGCTGTAAAACTCAAACCCCGCCGCATAAACGGCCAGCTAGCTCAGATTCTTAATTAAAAGAAGGGCTCGAGATGAGAATCTTCCACAGCGGTTTGTTCGTTCGGGCATATAACATAAGTTTTTGATCTTTGGTAGTCACTAGAAATGATTAGTTGAGCGCCACCCAATTTTGCACAAATTCTGACCTCTCCTGTATAGAAATTGGGAAAACATAAGAGAGCCAAATAATAAATTCACTACGAGCAATTCTGATTTATTAATCCTGGCAAAACGGTGCAGGATCGGCAAATAAAATGTATCTTCAATACGACAATAACAAATACTTTAAATGACAAAAATAATCCCCAAATAAATTCCTGAACACTTCCCTAATAATTACGTTACCAGACCCCTACAACAATGATCGAGCAAAAATGTAGTTAAGATTTCAATGGATTCAAAGATTGAATTAAGTTAACCCGAATAACAACTCATACACACTGGGTACAAGTAAATTAAAAATCTTACCTTGAATAACACATACGCTGTCTTCTCCGAAAAAGAGCTCTCCTTCGAAGTTCCAGTTCTGTAACACAAAAACAAACCCCAAGCTACAACGCTCGGAACGATTCTATGAGCCGGAAGGGCCAAAAAAAAAATAGCTTACTCGTAGCCGGCTCGTTTACCCATACGTTAAATACAGGTGCGTTGCTCTTGAAGAGAGCCACGACCTCAAACACTAGATGCGAACAAAATACAAAGCTCCAATCATAAATCGTCGGAAGGTTACACTAGATTAACGGTATTGAAGCAAATAAAAAAGGTTGGGTAAAAGATCGTATCTTCCGAAAATTCCACAATCAGCTGGTCGCTCCCGGTATCGTTTAGGTGTTAGCGCTTATCTACTCGGTGGTACGCCGGATAGCTGCCGGCAATCAACAGGTGTTCGTACTCCGGAATATTCGCCAGATGCAAATTCATTTACATACAAGAATTCATCTACTACATGGACCCCCTAAAAGTAATGAAGATGTAACACTCCCTTAACGAGATTTTTAATAACATACCTGAAATCGTCAGGAGGGTAATGAAAAATACTTAAATCAATGAAATAGGGAAATTATCCAACCTCAAATTGTGAGTCTGAAAGAATTTTAGATAACATAACGTAAAAGAAAACCAACGCCATTTCACTTACATGTAGGTAGGGCGATGAACTTCCACCAGATATATAGCCTCGCAATGGAGAAAACGGCTTCTGAGTTACTCTACTCGACAACGCCAATAAAAAGGTAAAATTGCCAGAGATTTTACGTGAATGATGGCAAATATTACCCACTGGTTTAAGAAGAATTCACAATGCCACGCTCTACAACAAGTACAACCTCGTTGGCTTTAAAACGGAAAATGAAGTGAAAAATTAACGCGATTCTGCGCAAGGAAAGAAACACGCGTACAAGTGACGCCATCTCACCTATATCCTGCCTAACCTAGCAAGCGGTAATTTTGAAATTTGAATATGAATAAACTAAACTGTTACAATGTGTTTTATTGATGCACAGTGGGTTGGTTTCACACAGAGAGCCCAAAAAATGATCTCTGAATTTTCTACTTCCTCTGGAATCTGGATGGTAGAAACATAACCTAAAAGTATTTCCTTAATAAAAGATTAATATATCAGCATACCTTAGAAATATTTGGCAATGCCGTGTATTGTTGATGTCATCAAATCAATGAAGTGCAACGCTTTTTATAACGAAAACCCTATACCTTAAAGATAAATTGTTCACAACCTTATTAGGCTTTATTTTTCAAGTCAACTGTAGTAACCCAACCTCGAATGCCACCTGGAGTTTGTCCATCCTTACTCCTGGTCAAGGACGATCAGTTTTGGATCGGTTTAGGAAGCCATGGATAATCAGACGGGGAAGCGGAAAACGCTAGAGGTATCTTGCGGCGGTCGCTGGCGAATATCTAAATCACAGTTACGGCACACGGGACGGTATCAATTTCCAAATTCAGATTAGAAGCACAAGTTAATTAACGGTATCGATATACTAGCTACGGGAAAACGGAACAAGAAAAATAAATCCCCCTACACTTAACGGAATGAATTGAAATTAAACAGAACGTTCAAATGCCAAATCTATCAAGAAAACTTTGAAATACGGAAAAAATACGGAAGGGAACATCGGAAATTCCGCCGGCTGGGATGATGACGTCAAAACAATCTTTTTAATTTAATTCCCAGGCTCCCGGAAGTCTAAAAATCTGGGACATATGTCAAACTCTAAATTAATTAAGCGGCTTTCTAACAGAGACTTGTTATAACAATATAATAATAATTATAATAATAGCAAGTCTCTGCTTTCTAATGACACTACGCAGTAAACACAGACGTTAAATTGACGTCCAAAACTGAATAAGAGGTGCGCATTTTTTTCGAGAATAACTATATGGTGATATTCACGCTCAAATGTACAACTAGGTAATACGTAATGAATAACCAAATTTTAACATCAATGCTATGCGTTATTTTTCCACACAGAAAATGTAGTAAACTATACGATAAAGTCGTTTGCAATATTCACGTTTTACGCAGATCTAATTTTTTCCGTACTTTGCTTACATAATTTTCATATATAATACCATGAGTAGTCGAAGTATTGTCGATAATTTTTGAGGTGCTGTTACGAATGCTCATGGTTGCGAAATGACTGTTGAAAACACTTAATTAGCGAGGTGGTCGGCTTGTGGCGAATTTTTTTCGTGCCTAAAGTTAATGGCAATATTTTCGGATCGGATTAAAAACATATACCTACAAGTGGACTGCAATTACTTTTAGTTAATAAACTATTTTTAAACGTTAATTCAAACTGACTTTGTTCAAACAACTACATCGGACTATGCAAACGAATTTTCGTACAAAGGAGCAGACTGAATTAAAAAATTCGTTAGGTAATCAAAACCTGTCCATATGTTTTTGATCACGACAGTGGTAGAGCGTCCATCAATAACTGCTTTTGTCCCATTCCATGATTAAAATGCATTTAAGTTTTGTTGTTTTACATTCATGAATGATAAATAGGATATGGTCTCCAATAACGAACTAGGAATGCATACTTGAGCTTAGGCATCTATTTGATTGCACCCATTCCTGTGCGTTCGTTAACCACACCAAAATAGTATGTTAAAAATTAAATTATTCACCACATTTGCTGTAAGTGTAAAATTGTCTGGTTTTAAGTTATATGACATCCGTTTGCTTTCTTGAACTTGGCCACTCTTATGAATTGGCATGGCAAAAAATAATCAAGGAAAAATGTGACAAGATTAGGGTCGCTTACATAATATTTATAATTATTAACTAACAAACAAAATGTATAACATAAATGCGTCCTTGTAAATTCAATTAAGAAGCAAAATAGCTCAAGTTTTAATATGACCTTAGTTACTTATTACATGAACAAAAAAGAAACAATGAACTGTGTAGCTTTCAACGTATAATAGTTGCTCAAAATCAATAAGTTATGTCGCTGGCTTTTACTTTACTTATTAGGAAAGTAATGCAATTTCACGTCAAAGCGCATCATCCTGAAACGTTTAATTCTATCCCTGAAACAACATTTTGTACAATCTAGTTAATAAACTTGTACTTAAATTACAGGAATCAATCCAACGATGCTGTCTATAATACGAGGGACATGCTTGAGGATTTCCAAGGGGCGTCCGTTTGTGTTGCAACGAATGATCAGTGTAAGTTAAATGAAAAACCGTCCCCTTGGCTCGTTCGGGTATGAAAATTTCGGGATGAGGAAATTACGACAATAAAGAAAATTGTTGAACCTTTCTTTGACCGTGAACTAGGCTCCGGGTGGAAAAAAAAATGAATTTTGTGCGCATCGGGCCAGATCAAAACTGCTTTCCCATAAAGGGTTTGGTATCGTATATAAAAGTAGGAGATGGGAGTCCGTAGCAGTTGTTATGTTAGGGTTTGCACAGTCCATCTTTTTCCGCTGTTACACGTAACGTCTCCATAAAATAAAAACTTATTTATCTTTCTAATCAAAATGTCAGTTTATATTCAACCTTCCGTGATTTTAGTCGACAAATTTAAGAAAATGCGATTCTTTCGAAATGAGGTAAGTTTTCATTCGTGATGAAACGACATGTAAGGACCTCGGTGATTAGTAATTCTAAAATATTTAGACGTTCATTGCTATTTTAAATTAAGCTCTAAATTGGGTCGTTGTCCTAAATATGTGTACGTGAAAATAACAAAGCACTTCTTGCCATTTTCCTGTAAGTACGTCGAGTCACGCAATTTGAAAGCACGCGAACGTTCAACTACTTCCGCATTGAAATTTAAGGTCGCATTTAACGCCACAAAATTTTTGTTTACAGTCAGAAACCGAGGAAGTAATGTCCGAATCCTCGACACCTTCCACCCCAACCTCACCAGCTCCAGAACCGTACGAGATTAAGACGATCACCAACGCAGATTCGGATGCTTTACTTGGACACCTACGCAAATTCTTTTTCAAAGACGAGCCTCTTAACGTAGCCGTCCAACTAATAGAATATGAAAATTCTACCTGTCCCGAGCTGGAGAGGTACTCACTCAAAAGTATTAAAGAGGGCACGTCGTTAATGGCCGTTACTAACACGAATCACGTAATAGGGGTCTGCTTAAACGGGACCATTACAAGCACCATTTCAAATGAAGCGGAAACCGAAGAGGACGATTGTGAGAATGTGAAATTTTCTAAAGTTCGCTCGTTTTTGAATTACTGCGGTAAAGAAGGAACGAAGGCAATCGCCCAAAGATATCCGGATGTTGAGAAGATTATGTTCGTCAAAATTATTTCAACTGATACAGCATGGAGAGGAAAGGGAATTGCGAAAGAGCTGATGGATAGAACGAGGTAAAGATTTTATCCATCATTAACAATGCGGTAACAACCACTTGCATTGTTCTAGTCCTAATTAAACGCATTTTTCTTGTTACTTTGCGTGTTGCAGTTGCAGTCTGTCACCCAGGTATAACATTATTACGTACCTGGCTATCACAGTCTAAATCTGATTTTTTATTTCGACTGATCAAAAAAAGAGTAGTTTAGAAAGCGGACCTTTAAAATAGTACCCCCAGCAAATACCCGTCATAGGACTGTGAACGAATACGTCGCTCATAAAGTTTACACATGAAACACTAAGTTGTGTCGAGATGGAGATATGCAATATGCATATACATATTTCCTGCGGTCTTTCGAAGGTTTCGTGTTAAATTTTCGAGGGTTTTATAATCAATTTATTGGAGCTAAGGCTGTCGAGTTTATTTTAACTTATTGGTACTGAATTGCAGAATTAAGTTACCTAATTTAGTTACAAGTAGTAATTCAAGCTTGATGATTTTTCCAAATTACTTAGGTACTTGCCTTGATTATATCATGTATTTCAAAAACCTAATACTTGATTTGATTTCAAATCGTGCTACTTTACTTGATATCAAGATATGAATTAAAATTGAGAAAAATTTCTTATCTGTAGAATATACAGAAGCCATTTACTAGTATTAACTAAAAACCGAAATGGAAATACTTTGATATCTGTGGAGAAAGTAAAGGAACTGTTTATTTGTCGACTGTATATTCTATTATGTTTTATTACCCACCAGTAAAGGTGACTATTTAGTCCAGTCATTCCTATGCCAAAAAATGACAAATAGAAAAAATAATTCGTGTAGTTCCAATTTTTTCGGGAATGTATGGTTGAAGGTCTTCTGATGATTGTGTAATAAAGTCTCGAGCGATTTCGGTGCCGCCGAGGGGAGGGGAAGGGGTTGAAGGTACAGTTTTGCAGTTTTTCGGCTATATTTCGAAAATGGTGGATCGTAATAAAACATTTTGTTATCATAATTGAAAGCTACAACTTTGTCGCTATACATTTTTTTCAAAAAACGCAACGTTTTCCAGCTACGGGCTCATGAAGGTGAGAAATTTTCAAAAAATTCACGTTTTCGGTCAAACTTTTCTTCGAGCTCATTACCTGTTCACTTTTAGCGTATAAGTGGATGGTTATAGATCTAGGGAATTAAATTTCCGTCAAGAATCACTTACATGTGTGGTGTAACATGCTTCGACAGTTCGACTTTACCTACAACAAAGATGAAGTGAAATTTCATGAGCGAAGCGAAGATAATGTACGTATGTACAATTCTTCTCCATGAGGATCGTCTACGTCCTCTTCATTTTCTTCCAGGATTGGTGGAGAGTTTAAACAGCCCCTTGGCAGTTGGCACATACAATGGTACAAAATATGCCAGCCTTCTTGCACCCACAGCTAGTCCCGCAGTTCGTAGTAGAGCAACGGCAAAAAAGACGTAAAATTTCCTCTTTTCCAACCCTATTGTTCGGGAGGGAGTGATTTCTCTACCCACTGCGGAACTTGGAGAAACACTGTAAGAGAGTGTTGCCGTGTTGAAGTTTTTGGTTTTTGGAACATTTCCATAATATCGGCAATAGTCATTTCACATTGTCCGAATTTCATGAGTATTTCTGGTAAAGGTTTCTAAAAATTATGTCCTCTCAATATTTCGGAATTCAGATTTGAGCCACGTGTTCTTGCTGCAGCGTGGAAAATCAAATTCGATTTATTCGGATTCACCGTCCCAAAGTAAGGAAAGTAAAATTCCGTATCTCGCACAGTCTTCGTTTTTACCCATCCTCCTTTTATTAGCCTCTTCCTAGCAATTCCTTTGCTTTCTGGTAGCTTCTTATTTTCATTTTTCCACAACAAAGTGATCTTCCACCTGGATTTATTCGTTTTTGGTGTGTTTAGTGCCTTTTTATCCTCCGAAGTTATCTCATGTAAGGTTCCGAAATCATCTGTTTCTTCTTCGATCTTTCTAACATGCAAATTTTTTTCTGTTTGGATCAATTCATTAGTTTCCATCATTGTTTCAAGAGGGATCTCTGCTACCATGATAGCTCCATGTGGACCACTAAGTCTTCTGGTGGGTATAATTAGATGCGCGTATCAATATGGATATCTTGAAGTCTTCACATTCTACTAAACGTACATATTCTTCTGAAACTTACTCGTGGTAGCTTTTCTTCTAAATTATCCATTGTCAACACTTCATTCAGTTGACAGTGACAATCCTGGTGATTCCGTTGTATCATTATCATTATTTCTTCATCCACCCTCTCCATCCATTCGTTTTTCGATGCCTTCATATCTATAACTATAAGTAATCTTTTTTTCCTGATATTCCTAAATTTCTTCACAATCCTCGTATCTGTTACTGTTAGTAAGTATTCTGGAAAGGTGTCAAGCCCAGCGAGAATTTTTATCTTCTTTTCATTTTTATAAAACAAATCCAATTCAACAACCTCGTATAATATTTTACGTTTCCTTCCGCTTAGGTGTCCAATTATATCAGCAGGTTCTTCTACATCTCTTTTTCTATTCCTGATGTTTTCGTGTAACAACTTATGATGTCTTCTACACCTCCCTACATTGTGACAAACATTCAAACACGGATAGCAATGGCGTGGTTTGCGAACAATTTCTCGTTTTTCTTCCAAAGATTTTATCGTTTGACGATTTTTGTTAGCACGTTGAGATTTTGTAGTTAAATTTTCTTCTATGGTAATTTTAGGTACTTAACTCATTCTCTTCCTCGATTTTCGTTCCTTTGTGTTGATGTTTTGCCCAATCTTTGATTCTTTCTTGTAGGTTTTAAACACCTACGCTGTCCCAAACAAGTATTCAGTTTCGTCTAATAATTATTTTGCGTTCGATCACATTCTTGCCTATTCTTAGATGAACACAATTCGATAAGAATATAAGATCGAGACTGCATGAAATCGTTGAACAAATTTATGGAACTCAAGAGGAAGCTTTCGCAATAATGCAAATAATGGCAGTTATCTGGAATTTTGGTGACCCCAAAATTCATCATCCGTTCAAAAGTAACGGGCGCGATGAGATCTGGCGCAAAGAAGAAGAGAAGTCTTGTCGAGGGTGTGAATGATGGTAACAAAAAAATGTGATGTGTGGTTCCCCTATTTGATGCATCCACACGTTTTCTAAGTAGTGTTAATTTAATTTAGTTTAGTACCTAATATAGGTAACGATATAATTACTCGAACGGTAATTAGACATCCGTTACGATTCGATAAATGTTTATCATGCGGTTAATTATATAAGTATTTCCTGGTGCTTGCAGGTTAAAGGTTCAAATCTCAAATGTCTCTGATACAGAAGGTGCCTCTAACGAGATTAATTGAAATGTAGCGTGTTTATACTTGCACATTACTTCATTTGAGACTAATTATATAATCACTGTGTTTCATAACACATTTAAACTGCCTTGCTTACATCTAATCTAATTTAATCAGCGTCTAATGGTAGGATCATTATTCTGACATGCACCTACTCTACTATCAGTAGGTATCAATAAACATTTTTAAGGAGAAAAGTAACCATGTAATTGTTAGAATAACGTTGGTAACTAGTAGTACAAATTTAATTAATAGGAAATTATGTCTAAACTCTTGTGGAACACGGAAACGGTTTGACCTAAAATTAATCATATCACTGGTAGGTGGGTACCTCACGATTGTTTATTCGTAAAAGTTCATTGTTTTTTGTGCATAAGCCTGTGTGTATTTGGTCAGTCTATTTTAGGTATTTTTATGTTTTATTTAATATCCAACTTGAAAAATATATGTATATATACAAGACGATAAAGAGGAGGTTTATATCCCTGCATCGTGAATAATAAAAAATTTATTTTATAGCAGAAGCTTTAAAGCAATCAATCGTTTTGTGATAGTAATAAAAATAGACCCATCTTAGAACATCTATCGTTCGTGTGCAAATTCATGAAAAAAGTATCACTTTCAAAACTAGTTGTACAAATAACTATTTCCCAAGTTATCCCAATTTCTCTATTTCCCACACGGTGTGAAGCAATTTTAAGTTTAAACACAAAGGTGCCAAAACGACAATAAAGGGATGATATGAAAATGATGGGATATTAAAATATCGTAAATGGCAAAACTGTAATTAAGCTAACTTTTTATGTTTAGTGTCACTTTTATTGAAACATGAATGACGCAAATTCGTCGATGAAATCATCAAATTATTTACGCCCTTTTTAATAAGTAAACATTTTTTGTGGATATTTACTAACAGTTCATGTTTTTCTTCTACAGAAAAATTGGACGAGAAAGAGGTTACGGCCTAATTCGCGTGGACTGTTCAAGCTATTTCAGCGCAAGGGCGGTGGCCAGACTGGGATTCGAGTGCGTCTATGAATTAAAATACAAGGATTACATCGAGAATGGACAACCGATTTTCCAAACAGAACATCCTCACCTGTCGTTTACTGTTTACGTGCAAAAAATGTAATTTGCAAAACATGAATTTTATTGTACTTAATCACATCCACTATTTGTTTATATTAGAAGATAGAAGAACGTCGTGTCTAAATGTGTAAATATTTATTCTATCAATGTGTGTAAATGTGTATTAGACAATCTTATCTTATGTGAGTCGCAATCAAATCAATACAAAAAATCAACGAGGTGCTGAGTATTCGAAGGTTATCTTTATTTGTAAGGTAGCTTAATTGGAATAATTTGTAAATTTTTTATACTTCATTGTTACAATCATCGTTACGTTAGTTATATAAATTATTTCTTGTATCAAGAAGGAATATTTTGGGTATTTTCCCACATTATATATTTAAATAAAGTTAATTTTTTAAGCTTTATTTCATATCCATTATTGTCTCTAGTTACGCTATTGTGATTTGTGGGCCGCCTACACCATCGCATCGGCTAAAAGAAGACAGTGATCTGAAGGGATCTATAAACAGAGTCGAAATCTTAATTCCTCAAATAATGTTTTGGCCATACAAAATTACAAACACCTACGTTTCTATTGATTAGAGTCCAGTGCACATAAGCGCTAATAAAAAAAAATCCATCAGTGTTCGTGTTTACATATGTACCTACATATTATAAGCTGCGGTGCTTAATTGCAAAATCTCCACCTATTTATGTTGCAAAATCAGGGCGATTTATGACATTAAGGGTCGGTTGTGCCACGACAGATCAATTTCAATTCAATTGACTAATTGACTGAGAGATTTGGTTAAATTCAAAAATTATCCATCAAATCTCTTAATTATGTCAGTCCCTTTTTCCGATGGTGCACTTTAATACCTGTAGAGTGTAAACCATCCCCCCAGGACAGCTTGACGGTCACTTTGAACATTGTGACCGTGCCTTCGAAACCGCGAGTTCCTCACTTCTCCACGTAGGTATTATCTAAATGCACCCCCGACAGCCGAAAAAAGGAGTTAGAAGACATTCGCCACTTGATTTTAAGGCTGCCAACAGGATGCGGGCATTAATTGAGCACGTGGAGACAAATTAATTTAAAAATGCCCAGTTTTCGTTAGCAAGTCGTTCCAGAATTACAGTCCACTGTGTTTCTGCTATATTGGATTAAATTTGTATCACCGTCGATCACTAAAAAAGTTATTATTTTTGTGTTAAATTGCTCATTTCAAGAGGCAAACCTTCCATTCATTATGGAAAAAATAATATGAACACAACACAACACTCAGTTGTACTACCTTTCTCAGTTTGTTTAGTCCCACCAAATTCCTCATATTTTTCTGAGTTTAGATTCTTCAGATCCTTAGAGTCGTTAAATTCTTATCTTAAGGTTTTTAGGATCAATCGGCTTTTCGAAGAAGGAGTCTTCCGATTGGATTATTCCGAATTTTCAAACCATTCAAGTTCTTCAGATCCTTGTGATCCTTCCGTTTCTTCGAACTCGTCTGATTTCTAAAATTGTCATTTCCATTTATTTGGATTCTTTCGTTCCTTCGAGTTCATTTAGTTACGCTCCATCGGATACTTCGGATTATTTATTTCTACACCTGGGTTTTTGGATACTTTTTGTCCTATTTAGGGGTGCGCCTTTTTGAGAATGGGGATATAAAACAAACTTCATGAACTGGTGGTCTTCATATGTCGCCTAGTTGTTGTGGAAGAGACTAAAGAAACGTAAATTGTTTACCCTATCTAGACCAATTATGAAATGGGGGCAAATTGATATTACTCATTTGTGATAACGTAACTTTTTTCCTTTTAAAATGAGACCGATTGCGATGCTTCAACTTTTCGAAAGCAGGATGTATAGGCAAATGCGATACCTACTTGTGGTAGACAGGGGCATTAATTGGTTACATGATAATGTAATCACGTGACAAATGCGTAAAACATTGAACGAATAAAACATAGTTATCAGTGAGTGGGTGTTTAAAGAGGAAATGGATATTGTTAATTTAGACCCTAGGATATTATTTGCTAAAGTAGCAGTCGGTGAAGTACCGTGCGCTTTATTTTGGGGTAAGTTTATAATCACCGACCAATTTAACTAGCAACAATATTAATGTCATTGGAGAAGTACTGTGTGAGTGCTAAAGTCATCAGATAAGAATATAGAACACAGATTATAAAAATAGTAAGTAGTTCCTCCTTTTAGAACCGTAAGCCTAAAATAAACGGGTTTAATGTTCTTTGTTTGAAAAGTAGAAGTAAATGCAATTTCCATCGGCACAAGTTATATACAGTGTTTTATTAATGAAAAAATTTTAAACTTATTGCGTACTGCTCGCAGCTCAATAATAGAATAGTTGATATCTTCCCCAGGTAAGTGCGTTAGTCTCTTTATAATACTTAAATATAAACGAATTCCTGTATAAACAGTATAAATAACGGTTTACAATCGTATCGTTACGCCCGTAATACTCAATTAAAGTTGTTTGCTCTCTATCTTCAGATTTAGACACACTTACCTGATGACGTGTGAAAATACTATTGTATAGATCACAAATAATAAAATTAAATGAAAATGAAATGACGCTTCAATTTTTTACTTGCATGCCTCCGTTAACAATAGGCGCAGATCTTAATGAGATAAATCTGAGAGAGGGTAAGACCTCAAAATAATATAATGGAAGATTTTGGGGGTGACATAGTTACATGCCAAGCAGGCAAATTAATCTAAAATAATTATTATTAGAACGCTTACATGCACGTCTTTTATAGCCGAACATTAATGAGAGCTTCCGAAAAAATTCATAAAGCTTCCCAAGGTATCTTCTGTTGCATTTTTTCCTTTCTTTACTAAAGTAGTTTATTTACGTTCCTATTTTGGATAACTTGTCAAAATCGGTGGATTTACGAAGTGGCATGTGTAAATTATCATTTAGGTGAAGAAATCTAAGCACGTTGAGAAAAGTTTTAGAGGAAATGTAACTGTGATCCTATCGTTATGAAAGGTGATGCTCTCATGACCCCATAGGCGGATCCATAGTGTAAGTATTCTTACACTATGGCGTATCTATGTTAAATTATTGAACGCCGTATATAAACACCAATAAAGACAACTCCCCATCTCTTAAATCTAAACGCTTGTTGACTCGAACGGCGCATAAATTTAAATGCTTCAAAATTTTTTCTGCGAATTTTGTTGTAAAGAAGACTTAGAAAACTGTAATCTTCTAAATTCGCCAAAAACTGTAAGATTATCAAATGATAACTAAATTAATAAGATACTTAAAACGTTTAGTCCCATTTTATAAACGATATTGTAATTTATCTAGCTACTTGGTTCTGTTTTCGGACCAAAAACCCAGGCATAGCCCACACAAATACACAAACTAAATTAACAAAGATACCAAATTGAACGAGCATCTCAATTTTGCACAGTTGATCCAAAAATCTCGACTGTGTAACTTTTTGATGTGATCCCGTGCCCTAAAACTTATGCACCACCCCCATGAAATTCATTCTTAAGTTATTTGTCAGGTTTTAACTAAACGATTTTCACTAATTAGGCCAACAAAAGTAAAGTAACACTATAATAGAACACATATATGTACTATGGTAACACAGAACAACAAATTAACAAAAAAACAATGACTTTTGGAAGGGGATGTAAACGCAAATTCGACAGTACTAAATTGACAGCTATATTGTTAAAAAAGTGCTAATTTATACCATTTTTCCGTAGAGCTATTTTGCTTGTAAAAGTTATTGACAACTTTCATTTTAGCTGCCGTTTTCCCAATTTGACACAAATGATCCTTAGATGCGATCTGGATATTTCACAAGGAAACTTTTGCAACAAGATCAAAAAATCAAGTTTTTCGTTGGAATTGCTACATTAAAAAGTCATTAGATCAGGTTAGGTAGTGTTTTCTTCAAATTATTCATAGTGCTATTAAATAATTAATTAATGATTTAAAAAATGAGGTGCCGAACATGGTTTTTCATGCAGGTGAAATAATTAGAAATTGTAGAAAAACGATTAAAACAGTTACATTTTCCCGCAGGCGAAATCCCGAGGGTTGTAAGTGGTATTTTGCAATTTTTGGTTTTAGGCGAAAATGTTTGAAGTAAATATTGTAGGGAATAAAAAATGAACAACTGTTTTATCTACACTTTTTTCACATAACCTCAAAGGTTGACGCTAAGAATAACTAGAAAAAAAGTACCATACAAATGAGCAAAATTAAAATGCTCCGACAGCCAGTTCTTATTTGATTCATTACTATGCAATAAATGATAATGAATCATAAACACAATTAAATAATAATTGAACACTAAACTTTATATTTTCAAGGAATTTGCATGATTTATAACTGTACACCATATAAGGTGAAATTGGAATACACGTTCAGGTTACGTGGGATGTATTTGATCATATCAGAAAGATATGAATGATTATTATCGTTGCGTTCTTATACTTTTTTCCTGTTACTTTTATGACATTTAATTCGCCGTCGTTAATTGCAGCACTCTATGTAAATGCACAAGCATTTAAATGGTATATCGGACAAGGTAAAGCAATAAATGAAAATGGAGATTTATAATGAAAAATCATTATAACATAAATCACGGGTAATCCATCTATGCAGTTAACAAGATACAATTTCCTTTCAATTTACCTTTGAAACGCTTCGAACCTATTAAATTAGATTAAATTGGAAACGTCTGCGAACAAAGCCGCACAGGATGAGAAATGAAATGAAAGCCTAACGTAAAGGATATAGTAAGTACATTCAATTACCGAGTACAGTTGAACAATACAATTCGATTCCGATTATTGCAAAAGTACACCGGAATGTATAAAAATCAAAGCTTTTTCAGACAAGATCGATAACGCTCTCCAAATTGCGTTAGTAAAAGTTGGACTAAGCACCCCCATGTTGCCATAGTCACGAACTTTGTAGCTTGCCAACTACAAAGGGAACGGCGTTCCTTCTCATCGGTATGCCGTCTTCGCTCATCACCATCCTGTGAAAAAGAAACGTCTAGAAATAACACTGAAAGCTTTTTTCCATATTGATTTATGCTTGGCACGTTTCAAGGTTTTAAAGTGTTTAGCGGTAAAATGTGCAATTGATTTATGTGTCGCTTAGAGAAACTAATCAGATCCGTCAACATTTTTATTTAAATCTAGTTGCTATTACCACAGATTATAAGGAAATTTGTGCTATTACGAAGTGCTGTCTACACGTGGAGGGAGTTGTAACTAGGCTGCATGATTATCCTGGATATTTATGCACCGTGTACATTCAAATCCAGAAAGTCGGAAGTTTGATTAAAATTTGACATATTTGACCGCCCCTACCATCCCTAAGCCACGGGATCTCGCTGGCTGACATGACGATTTCTAAATGGCTATGTC